GTCCGCGCTCGGAGACGTTGGGATGAGAGCCGGAGCCAGGAGCTGGCTCGGAAGCGCAGATGGGAGTTTAGAAAGTTACTTTAGGGCTGGTGTTTTTAAGAGGTGACTAAAAAGCTTCTGCAGCAGGACCCGGTGCCGTGTGGGAGCCTTGTCCCTGGCTCTGTCCCCAAGTGTTATCATGGCACTTGAGGTGACAAGGGGCACAAGTGTCCTTCCTGCAGGATTATTTCAGCAGCGACACTTTTGGAGTGAAAAACGCTATTTTAACTTGCTGCTGCAGCACACTTCGGGGTTGGAGCCTGGCCCTTTGCAGCCCTGTATCCGTGTGCGGTCCCGGAGGAGCAGCTGGGGTTGTCCCAGCACCGGGATGCCGGCAGGGAAAGCCACACAAACCCCAGGAAAGGTCCTTCCAGCCCTATCGCTGCCCTTCCAGCTCCACAATAAGGAAAAGCAGCCCTGCTCCGTCTCTCCGCCAGCCCGGCAAAGCTCATGGCAAATCTTTTCCAAGGGCCCGTCCAGACATCTGAGCTCGGAGTGGGGATTGCTGGCTGTCTCCAGCCTGGCTGGTTTCTCCGGGAGCCGTTTGCAGCTCAGCTTTCCTCCAGCAGCTTTTGGGAAGGGGGCAAAACACTATTCTTTATTTTTTGTTTTCCCATCTATTACTTCCAAGAGGGAAAACATCCAATAGCTGCAAATCCTAAATCCCAGTGCAGATCCTCGGACCCTCAGGTTAGATCCTTTGGGATCTCAGTGCCTCCTTTGTGGAGACCACTCCAGCCTGGGGCTCCTTTCCAGGGATCTTCGCTGGTGGCTGTGTGGAGAAGAGGGAGCAAAACACATCCAGCCTCATGGCACCTCCTTAGCCATCAGCTCCCTTGGGATTTGCATCCCCCTTGGCTGCAATTTGTGTTTCCCAGACCTTGGTGGATGCAGGTCCCATCGCAGATGCTCCCGGGCACCCGTGCACAAAGCGCCTGGGTTTAAAGGGGTCACGAAAGCACCTTTAGGGTCACGTTTGGCATCCATAAATAACACAAGGCTTTATGTTTTTCTTTGGAAAAAGCAGGGAGAGAGGTGCCAATGTGACCTCAAGTGAGGTCTGGAGGTGCCGGAGGCCCTGGGATGCAGCTCCCGCGTGAGCAGCCGCAGCATCCCGGCCCCGCTATTCCCATGGGAAGCGGCCTTGTGCTGGCGCCCCATGGGATGGGGTCATGGGTGACCGCTCCAGCATTCCCAGCAGCCTAAGGCTGTCCGGAGGTCACTGGCCCCAAAATCCCGGCTGGTGGGAATGGCCAAAACCCATCTGGGGAAAACCATTGGGCTTTTCCTATGGCCGCTTTGCCGCTCGCTATCCGATGGGGAACAGCTATCCCATGGGGAATACCACCCCGCAGGGCCCTTCCCGAAAGGGTGCCGGGGCCGAGCCCGTCTTCCCAGCAGCCTAAGGCTGTCCGGAGGTCACTGGCCCCAAAATCCCGGCTGGTGGGAATGGCCAAAACCCATCTGGGGAAAACCATTGGGCTTTTCCTATGGCCGCTTTGCCGCTCGCTATCCGATGGGGAACAGCTATCCCATGGGGAATACCACCCCGCAGGGCCCTTCCCGAAAGGGTGCCGGGGCCGAGCCCGTCCCCGCGCCATCCCCTCGGGCTGTACCTCCTCCAAACGCTCGTCCCTCCCACTCCCTCCCCGCCGCCGGCTTCTGCCAGGGAGCCGGGAAGCG